TCCACACCACCCTCCTGGACAAGCCACCTGGGCTCTGACTCCATTCACCCAGCCAGGACAACAGGGGGCATGACTCAGCCCAGCCATGTGCATCCTGCCTCTTCTGATTGTGGAGCCTCTGACAGACTGAGATCAACTGTCAGAGGCCCCACGATCGACCGCTCGATCGAGATTGACTGGTTGGTGTTCACTGATGCCCTTAGCCTGGCTACTCTTCCAGACACTGCATTTCTGACTAGATTAGGTGGTTTCCCACTCATCTAACAAACTAAAAATTTCTCCGTTAGGCACCCAACTTTCCCTATGCATTGTAACATCATGTACTATGGGTAGACATTTAGTTTCAACACAGCAGACTTCTGGGAAATTTTCAGCACTAGAAAAACCTGGGAAGAAGGGGACATACAGGTATTTCAGCCCCCCTGACTGGAGAGGGGCCCAAGGAGCAGCCAATGGCAGGGGGCTGCTCCTTGGGCCCCTCATCCCAAAGGGAGCTCAGAAATTGTCCTCTACTGGGAAGAGGGCAGGCTGTCAATCATCTATCAACTGCTGAAAAGCATAAGCTACCAAGGACAGCCCCCTTCCTGGCAGTACCATTCCTAGAGCTCCAGCTCTTGTCAGGCAATTCCCTCACCCTAAACCTAACATCATCCGTCTCTTGCCTGCCTGCTCTACCTACTTGGGGGTGGGGGTGGGGATGAGAGAGCTGAGTAGGGGTAGGGGTAGGGTATGGGAACTCCCACTGCTACCTGAACAGTACTGAGATGCTCTGGGACTGTTCAAGCAGCAGTGGGAACTGGCTGGCAGGGCTCTACAACAGCTTGCTGCTGGACAAGTGATCAGGGAGCCAGCACTCTCCCTCTCTCCCCCTTGGAGGGAGGGAGAGTATAGGATTGTGGGATGCTGAGAATTTTAGGGACAGTGCCATGTGGACAGACATTACCCATAATGCTATGAAAGTTGTCCAGCTGGATAAGTCACCGGTTGAGAGAACTGACAAGTTTGTGGCAAAGTCATGGTATTTTCCTGCCACAAATCACTTAAATGCTTGTAAGCTCACTTTTTGTGCCAGGAAAAGGGCATATTTCCTGACACATATGTAATACCTATCCATTGCCTTAGATTCTCTGCTTCACTTCCCCATCTGTGGAGACACAATGGAGATAATATTCTTTTCTACCTCACTGTTGAGTTGTGAGCAGAAATATACTAAAGATTGTGAGGTGCTCAGATACCAGGATGATGATGGTCATATGAGTACCAGAAATGAACACAAAAAGGTAGGATAATGAAATAAACTAACCACCAGCATTGTTGAGTAAAAAGACTGTTGTATTCTAAATAAAGGGAAGCTTTTCAAGGCTGTCAGTTTAAGTCCTAGATAGAGCATATTACAATAACCAAGCCTACATGGTTATTTATCCCAGTCCAAAATGTCTCAAGTAAAATTTCCAAGGTTATTGATTAGAAATGTAATTACAACATCTATATAAGGATTTAACACTGTTGAACTGGAAGAAACAGAGAAGTCTTCTTTTTATTGCTCACTACATTTAGATGCAACTAGGAACTGTGTGTAAAGGATTAAACAATAAATGTCATTGAGCTCCTGCCACATGACAGATATAGATTTAGAATTAATTTTCCAAACACTAATTGTGCAATTCAATCTTTTCTCAATGACATACAGCAAGCACAAATGTTTGTGCTTCCAGACAAACAAGCTCTGGAGCAAAAAGCCAAAGCAGCAGCAGGACCTAAGTTATAAATCAGCAAAATAGGATGCAAAGAGACCAGAATAGGTAGTATTCTCTGTTATACAAGATGTCTCCAAGCTTACTGTATCCATTATAAATCTTTATTTCTCAGCTTTTCCTAAAGCTAAAATTTATTTAACTGTCCAAAAGTTGTCTAAAACTAGGTACTGCATTTTCTCCAGTGTGTCTGTGTTTCAACAGGTATATCAACTCTACAATGTATCTGCCAACCATTAGTCTATGTACATCTACTATCTGGTTTCAGTTATCAAGAACAATCTAAATATTTCTTTGTTCTTTTATGGAAATCACACAGACCTGATCACATTTCCAGTTTCCCTCCTATGACTGTCTACATATACTATTTCCCATGGTTCCTCTATTTGGTGATAGGGTTTCACCTGAATGTAGAGAGGAGGATAACAAAGCATACATATATTTACACATACTATATTTTTTTACACTACATACGTGGATAGAATAGAAAACAAAAGTAGAAATTTAATTGACAAAAATTTATTGTAGGCATCAGAAATCAAAAGGGTTTTCAGAAGTATTTAAGAGAGAGAATAGTGGTTTGGTAGACTATACCAGAAAAGGCTTCACAGAAGGAAATACAGCTGTTTCTTGGAAAAGCAGACAAACAAGTCACCACTGGCAAAAAAATAGGACAGGATACATCCTAGTAAAAGTAGCCTAATAATAGGGCAAATTAGAAAAGCTAGAAAGGATGATGTTGTAGGATCTTGAAGGCAATGCCAGGAAGTTTGAACTTGCCATAGTGGAGAAATTCAAAGAGAAGGTATTATAGTCAGAACAATGAGCAAAGGGGATAAGCTGAGTGTCTGCACTTAGCAAAAATTCAAGCAGTAGAACCTGAGGTTCTCAAGCCCAGAAAGGAGCCTCTTGCAATAGACACAGTCAATGAGAAAGATGCTGATGGTGATTCTTGCTGTCTGGACAAGCAAAAATGCTGTCTGGACAAGCTGTCTGGACAGAAAAAGAAGGGTAGGATATTAGAGATGAGTAGCAAATGGGAAAATCTGAATATGTCATTTATGAGAGTCTAAGACGAGCTCCAGACAACAGTCTGGTTGACAGGGAGGACAAGGATATGTTTATCACTGATGCAGAATGAAGGGAAGTATCACCAGCAGTCAAGATACCACAAGCCAGACTGCAATCCTGCAGCCTTCGCTGACTTCATAGAGCAACTTTATTGAGAATGCCAGAACAACAACAAAATACAAATCTCTTTGCACTGGCTTAGTAGAGCTAGCCAGCATAAACATTTATTTTTTGTCTCTCAAGTCACCTAATGGAACCTGAACACACAGATGGAAAGCATCTGTTCAATACAAATGCACCATATTTGCTAGGATTAAAGTGTTATAGCCATGACAGTCCAGGAGATATAGGAGATCTGAGAGGGAATGATTTTTTTTTTTTTTTTTTTTT